CCTCCCCGTGCTGCGGGCCCGGGGATGCTGCGGCTCCGCCATGGATTGATCCCAGCGGTTCGTGGATGGGGGGGATGACGAGAATCCCTTCCCCAGCCGATATCCCCCGGGAGCGGAGCGGGGCTCCGCCGGTCACCGCATCACCGAGACAGAGCCCAGGTAGGGGGAAAAAATTAAAAAAAAAAAGGAGAATAATTCCTGTAAAGGCTCCAGCGCAGGCGGCTGAACCGGCCCGGTCGGGACTCACCGGGACAGAGACGCGGGCACGGCCCGGGGACCCCCCCATCCCCCTTTCCTCCCTCATCTCCCCCTCCCCTTTATTTATTTTCTTTGAAGAGACTCGAATTCCCGAGCGGGTCCGGGTGACGGGAATCACCGCTACTGTTCATGAGATCAATGTGAAATGTCTTGTTCCCATCGTGCACTGGTCATGAGTATTGTGTAAAGGATCTACTTGAGTGTGCAAGCAAGGGGAGCCGCCACATGCTGCTATATGAATTCTTCTAGAACAAACCCAACGAACTGCAAACCTGCGGGGGGGAAAGAGAAAAAAAAAACAACCCTTCTTTCTTCTGTCATTGTTGCTTTTCCAGTGGTATTGCGCATGCAAACAGGAGCATTTTGTGTCTTCGGGATAAAAAAAAAAAAAGGAAAAAACGCATAAAAAAAATAATAATCAAAAGAAAAACCTTAACGAGAGATGGCTGTAAAATTACACCCATGCACAAAGACCCGCCACCACCCCGACACCGCAGTCTCGAGCCGGTATTCCCGTATCAGGCCTGGGGACTGAGACCTTCTCTTTGGGTTTTATCGTTCTCTTTTCTCCGTGTGCTCAGTTCTAGTTTAGTTCTGGTCCATCGGGCGTTAAACTGGCGAACAAGAGGGAGAAATAACGTGCCATTTATTTTTATTTTTGATTTTTCACTTGAAGCTCTTCATGGCTGTACATTGGACCCTGCTAATGATACATGTGTACGTACGTTTTTTTAGTGCAATCTCTTCTGTAGATCTTTGTTGACCAAATTGGTGGGTATTGTTACTTATTAATTTATATTTGTCTCATTTTTGTATGTATGTGTATAGTGTGTTTGTAAGTATGTGTGGTTTATAACCCGACCGACTGTGTCATGGGGCTCAGTGTGCCTGTAATTTAATCCCCTCCCCTTATTTTTATTTATTTTTGTACTGTGCTGATTAAATAAAAATGCACTGACCATCCATTACACGGCAGCGGCTCGTGGCCGAGTCTTTTCTGCGCTCGCAGCCATCGGAGGTTGGATTTGTGTTGACGACAGAGATTTAACGCAGCCGCCGCTTTAATCGCGTTACCGGGGTCACCCCGTGGTGGGAGAGCGGCAGCACCGAGGGGAAAATCGGGATACTGGGATAACTGGGATAACTGGGAAATCCATCCCATCCCTCTGGGCATCATCAGGAACGGGCAGTGCCACGGTGGGATGGAGCTAATTGCTTTCTTTTATTATTTATTATGTGAATTATGTAAACAAAATCCAGGTCCATTATAGTAGGGTTTTTTTAATGCTCTTTTACACATAAAATATCAGCGATTTATTAAAAAAAAAAAAAAGGTTCATTGCATTATCGCCCCCGGCTGAGAATCCAAGTTTCAATTTAGAAATAGTTAATTTATGGGAAAACCAAGAATATATATATTTTATATATTTATATATATATTTTATATATATATATATAAAACCAGAGCAGGAACAGATAATATATTTTATAAGACACATCTCATCACATACAATATTGCCATCTCATGGTAGATCATTTCCCAAGCTGCAATTCCTTGCTGTCCATGCCGATTCCATCCCCCCATTCTCCTGGAGGGACAAAAGTGCTGATCCCACCCCGGGGCGGGGGCGTTTGCACCGGACCGGAGGCGAGAAGTGCAAATCCCAAGGCACAGACACGGCCGGGGGGGTCCCGGCCTTTGGCATTGGGGGTGCCCCTCCAGAGGAGCTGGTTTGGGGTCCAAGGAGGTGCTGGAAGGTTCCTGGGGTGATCCCGGGGTGTTTTGTGAGCCTGGCAGGGTCGGGGCCGTCGCTGTCCCCTCCCGGCCCTGTGCTGGTGCTGGGGGGTCTGGGGGAGCCCCTGCCCAAGGGGACATCCCAGAGCTGCCCCCTGAGAGGGGCTGGGGGTGCTGGATGCTCCCAGGGCTGGTCCAAGGCCAGGGACAATGGGAATGGAGACTGCCATGGGGCTCCCGTGCTCATTTGTGCTCCACATCCCTGTCCCCCCCGGTCTCGGGGGTGCCAGGGGGACACCAAGGCTGCAGTGACCTGTCCTGGGCCCCGTGTCCATGGCACAGCTTCAGGAAACCTTTGTGCCTGAGGAGCCTCTTCCAGGCTTTCATATTCCCAAAATGCTCCATCAAACAACTGCTCCCCTTTGCTGACCCCGAGGTGGGGTCACCCCCAGCACCCCCATCTCCAGGTTGGGAATCCTGACCTGACCAGCAGTGCCAGGACAATCCCAATGTCCAATCCCAATGTCCAATCCCAATGTACAATCCCAATGTCCAATCCCAATGTACAATCCCACCAGCCTGGGCTGCTCAGGAACCACAGCAGTGCCCAGCACAGTGGGAATGAACCACTGAGGAGATCCATCAACACAGAGCTTGGGGTTATCTGGGCAGGGCAGGACGAGCCCAACACCCCAAAACCCACAGCCCACTGTGGGGAGAGGCTGGAAAACTCACGGAGGGAGAGGAGCCTGGTGCTGGCAGCTGGGGCCGTGCCAGGTTCATGCTGGATAGTGCAAAGCTTGGCCCCCCAAACTCCTCCTGCTCCTGGGCTCACCCCAAAGCTGGCACAGACACAAAGCCACGTGGATCATCCAAAATTCAGCAAGGCCACATGGTCCCACCTGCTCCAGGCCCTTGGAGGGGTAATTAAGGCAAAAAAAAGCAATGCAGGATTAAGGAATCCAGGCCTGCACTGCAAGTCCCCTGTCCAGCCAAGGTGCCTCGATGGGTTGATGAATTCCCGAGGGAAAGCAGCAGCTCTGGAGGCGTCTCCATGAACCTTGGGGGCTGCAGGAGTGTGGAGTGTGGGAGGGAGCCCTCCCTGCCCAGCCTGGCCCCGGTTCTGTGGGATCTGGCCCGACAGAAGCCGACTCCCTGAGCTGGGCATCTTTGGTTCCTCCTCTGGAGGCTGCATCAAGCTGCAAAGACTGACACAAGGGGAAGGAGCATGGAAGGGAGAAGCGGAGAGGGGCAGAGGAATCAACGTGGGAAAGGGAAGAAGGGGCGGTGGAAGTACCTAGAAACTCTTTTTTTTCAGACTGATTCCAAAGGAAGCGCTCTCCTGGTGTTCCAGCCTGGTTTGTAATGTGAAGAACAAGTCACCAGCTATTTTAGGTCTTCATTCCGCGCGAATTTGGCTTTTCTAAACCCCTGGAATTGGGGTTTTCCAAACCTTGAGCTTCTTTAGGCTGCTTTAGGCACCTTTAGGGCGCTGCCGAGCATCTCCCGGTGGATCCCGGCGGGAGGAGCGCGGTCCCGGCCCCGCTCCGGGGAGGGAGGAGCCGCTAATTGCCCGGCACGCAGAGCACAAAGCCCGAGCGGTGCTTGGTGAAATCCGGCTGGGGCTGGTTGATCCTGGTCTCCACGGACACGGTGCATTTCCTGCCGTGCAGGCTGCACTGCACCGGGTTGGTGACAGAGACGTGCAGGGAGCGCTTCTCCCTGCGGGACAGAGGGACACGGTCAGGAGGGGTGGGATCCATGGGGTGGGATGGGATCCATGGGGTGGGATCCATGGGGTGGGATGGGATGCGATGGGATCTATGGGATGGGATCTATGGGGTGGGATCCATGGGATGGGATGGGATGGGATCCATGGGATGGGACAGGACAGGGTGAGATGGACAGGAGAGGCTGATGGGGTGGGACACGAATGACACAATGTGACAATGCAGATGGGACAAGATGGGACAAGATGGGACAAGCAAGACTGGACAGGAGGGGGTGGAGCAGACTGGACTGGATGGGACAGGGTGGGCAGGGACAAGATGAGGCAGATGGGATGGGACAGAGCAGATGGGATGGGGTGGAACAAACAGGTTGGGATGGGATCCATGGGATGGGATCCATGGGATGGGATGGGATCCATGGGGTGGGATGGGATGGGATCCGTGGGATGGGATCCACGGGGTGGGATGGGATGGGATTCATGGGATGGGGTCCATGGGATGGGGTAGCCACAGATGGGATGGGATGGGTGTTTTTAGGTCAGGCACATCCTGCAGCCAAGCCACAACTCTGTGTTAAGCCAGGCCTGAGCTCCGAGCCCATCTCTGGCCTTGTGAAGCCTCCCACTCTGTACTGGGATCCTGTGGGAGGCCTCAGCTCCATGGGCAGGGCACAGAGCAGGCCAGAGGGCCCAGGGGCTGCTGCCAGCTCGGGCACTGCCCCCTGAATGCCCATCTCTGGCCTTGTGAAGCCTCCCACTCTGTACTGGGATCCTGTGGGAGGCCTCAGCCCCACGGGCAGGGCACAGAGCAGGCCAGAGGGCCCAGGGGCTGCTGCCAGCTCAGGCACTGCCCCCTGAATGCCCTGCAGTGACCCCTGGGCACCCCATGACACCAGCCCTGGCACCAGGTCTGTGCCTGCAGCAGAGGCAGGGACATCCCTGGGCTGAGCTCAGGCTGAAACACAGCCTGGAACAGTGGGAGGGATCACACATGGGGTGGTGGCTGTTCCCAATTCCCTCTCAGACAGACAGACACAGACAGACCAAACTGGCTGGGACAAAACCCTGTCCCTGCAGGTTTTGAACCCCCCAACCCAGTTTTGGCACCAAACATGACTCCCATGAGTGAATCAGGACATTCTGCCCCCCCATTGGTTTGTCTGTGGCTGTTGGGGTCCCTGCCAGTGGGGACACGAGGACAGCAGGGCCAGGATGGCTGGCACGAATGTGCCCCTTTGCTAAAGGCCATAAAGGCCCCTGCTCCAAATCCCAAATAAATTCCTTGTGCCATAAGCAGAGAAATCATAAATCATGGAATCATTCAGGTGGGGAAAACCCTCTGGGATCACCAAGCCCAACTGTTCCCCCAAGGCCACCACTGATCCGTGTCCCCAAGTGCCGCCTCCACGTGCCCTGGGCAGCTCTGTCAGTGCTCACCAGCCCTTTCCATGAAGGAAGGGAAGCACCAGCAGTGCCATGGCCCCACTGATGGGGCCCAGCTCCAGCCATGATCCCTCGGGACCAGCCAAGAACCCCCAGAGATCCCCAGGAGAGGAAAATCCTGCAGCAGATCCATCCCCATGAGCCACCACCAGCAGGAAGGGCTATCCAGGGACTTGGCCTTTGGGAATTCTCTCCTGTGGCCTCACCCACACTTCAAATTCCCACATTTCCAGCACTTTTAGTGTAATGCTGAGTGGTTTAGAATGGTTGACATTGACTCTGCTGCCTCTCTGGATGCTCCAGGGGGATGTGCTGGGATCCCATTCCCTGTGTTTGGCTCCCAGACCCCAGGTCCTGCCTTGTCTGAGCCATTCCAGCATTTCCAGTGCCACAGCCCAAGTCCTTTGTGCAGCTTTTACTCCATTTCCATGAACAGACTGTTCAGGTGCTGTCACATCCCTTAAGCTGCAGTTCCCAAATTCGGATTTTCACCACTTCCACAACAATGCCTGGCTGGTGGAAGGGGCTGGCAGGGCCCAGCACACAAAGCCCTCGTGTATTTAATGTTCTTACAGGTATTTAATGTTATTTACTCCTGCCTGGGTGAGCTGGGGCTGCAATCCCAGCTTAGGCTGCTATTTTTGCTGTGTCTTAGAGGAACGAGCTGCACACCCAGAGAAGCCTCTCAGAGGCTCCTTGGGAAAAGCTCCAGCACCAAGTGTCCCTAACAGGGATAAGGGTGGAGGATTTTTCCTGTCCCACAGCAAGTTCAGAGGATCTGGGGAGAGGAACCTGTTGAAGATTGCAATGCCAGATGTTTTCCATTACCATCTGTGTGGCAGATTACCTTTGTCAAGTGGGCAGTTTGCCTTCTCTCTCTCTTTGAGTGACCACATTCACACCTCCCTGGGAGGGGACATTGCTGATAACAGCTATTGAATGTCCCTGCATGGCTGATAAGAACTGTAACATCCCATTGGGAGATGTGAGCCCAGAGGGAGGAGCCAAGCATTGCTACCCAGATATAATCCAGGGGTTCTGAGACACCAGCACGGCTTCTGCACTGGATTCCCAGAGGAACAGCATCTGCCTCTGCCCCTGGATCTTCAGAGGAAGAGACTGCACCTTTCTCCAGGATCCCTGCTCCAGCAGAACCAGCCCTGATACTGCAGGAGGGCTGAGCCACAATTCCAATGGCACTGCTGCCAGCACCCTGACCCACAGGGTGTCAGGTTGGGTTCTGACTCTGGCAGTGTTCTTCTAGTGAACTGCAGTGTTTATTTTACCCTTTTATTGTTTTTCCCTTCCCTATTAAAGAACTGTTATTTCCTGCTCTCATATTTTTGCCTGAGAGCCCCTTAATTTAAAATTTATAGCAATTCAGAGGGGTGGGGAGGGTTTACATTCTCCATTTCAGGGGAGGCTCCTGCCTTCCTTAGCAGACTCCTGGCTTTCCAAACCAAGACAGAACCTCAATAATCTGAATTCTGACCCCAAGCAGGACCTGGGAATCTGGAGCTCCTGCTGCCCTGTGGCTGTGGGACCTGCAGGAAGCTGCATCACTCTGGGTCTCAGTTCCTGCTGGGATGAGGAGAATCCCCTGAACTGAGTCTGAGTGAAGCCAACGCTGTCCTGGCATGGAGGGATCAGGAGAAGATGCTCTGATCCTTCCCAGTCTGTGACAACCCGATTGAATTAAGGCTTCCCTCCCATCTCTCATGCCCAGATCCCACCTTGCCAAAGCTTCCTCACTCATCACCTGCTGCTTTTCTTCATGTCAGGGTTCAGCCTTAAAGCTTCAGTTGGGGGAGCAGGGCAGCTCCTGCATGGAGCAATCCCCAGGGATCTGTGAGTGCTCAGGGCTGACAAACCCTCCTTGGTGTCCCTGCTGGGGCCACCAGCCCTGCCACCAGCCCCAGCTGGACCTGCTGCACCTCCGGGCTCTTGGCCACTGCTCCAGAGCTTGGGCTGAGGCCAGGGAGGGGCAGGAAAAGGAAATGCCCTCTGGTTTCCAGCCCAGCCTGGCTCCTGGAGCAGCAGTGGCACAGCCCAGGTTTGCTCTGGGCCCCAAGGGAGGCAACAGCTGCTGCAGCAGCTGGGAAAGCAGAGCCAGACCTTCCCATCCATCACTGTTGGATGGGAGCTGCTCCCTGAGTTCCTGCTGAATTCACATCCCAGAGGGAGGGGCTGGGATGGAGATGGAGCAGAACAACCCTGGATGACAACAAAGTCTCTCATAGACAAGGGCAACACACAACAGAAATACCCTTTGGAGATCAGTGATGCTCAGCAGGACCCTGAGGGCAGCAAAGGCACAGACAAGCCCCACTTCCAATCAAACTTGAGCTGGAAAAGGAGTTTTGATGGCACAAACCTGTCCCACCACCTTTTGGGGATGTTGGACAGGGGATGGAGGGACAGGACACAGGGAATGGCTCCCAGTGCCAGAGGGCAGGGCTGGATGGGATATTGGGAATCAGGAATTGTTCCCTGGCAGGGTGGGCAGGCCCTGGCACAGGGTGCCCAGAGCAGCTGGGGCTGCCCCTGGATCCCTGGCAGTGTCCAAGGCCAGGTTGGACAGGGTTTGGAGCCCCCTGGGGCAGTGGAAGTGTCCCTGCCACGGCAGGGGTGAAACTGGATGGGATTTGAGGTCCCTCAGGGATCCCCTGTGGCACTGCAGGGCTGAGTCCAGCCCTGGCTCCCCACCAAGCCCTAATGAAGTCAATTCCATCAGGACAAAGGGATGGATGTGATGATGCTGCTGCTCCTGGGGCTCCTTCTGGGCAATAACCCCACCCCAAGGGACAGCAGGGTGTGGGTGCTGAGCACTGCAGGGAAGGGACCCAGCCCCAGCACCCCTGAGGCTGCTGGAAGGATGGAAGAGAGAAAAGAGATTCTGGGGGAATCAGGATCCAGCACTGCTCCCATCCTACCAGGGACGAGGGAGCCATGTGGGAATGTCTGTATGGGATGAAGCACAGTGATTTCTGTTCAAAATAAACACCAAGGTGTTTATTTTATTATTATATTATTTAATATTATTTAATATTATATATATTATATATTATATATTATATATTATATATTATATATTATATATTATATATTATATATTATATATTATATATATTATGTTATATATTATATATTATATATTATATATTATATATTATATATTATATATTATATAATATATAATATATATGATATATGATATATGATATATGATATATATTATTTATTATTATATAAGAAACACCAAGGTGTATAATCTAATCTAATCTAATCTAATAAAATAAATATAATATAATATAATATAATATAATATATATCCTATATAATACATATCTATTCTATTCTATTCTATTCTATTCTATTCTATTCTATTCCATTCTATTATATTCCATTCTATTATATTCTATTCTATATTATATGTATAATACTATATATATTATATATATTATGTAATAGATCATATTATTATATTATATAATTATATTATTTATTACTATATAAGAAACACCAAGGTGTTTATTCATAAGAAACACCA